AACTGTTGATTCCTAACAATGCCAAGCATCGTTAGAATGTTAGGCCGGCATGTATACGTTTACGACCAGTAAACGTTTTATTACTATCGAAAATGTTTCAACACTGCTGCAATAAAATAATTTGAGGTTTAGTTACGATGAGTTTGTCTGTTTGCTTGTTTTTATTGTTCTGTACTTTCTTAGGAGAAAGGAAATTTAAGAGGAGTATATATGTGGAAGTGCTGGAGGTGTTAACTACATTCACACGTACATAACAGGGTTTTGTAATTGGGAGCGTGCCAGAAGTATTCGAATTTTTAAAGTTTAACCAACTGGAATCGATAGAAAGTTTACATAGTTCACGTTTTCAGAATAAATACTCACAAATATTTTAAAATGAGTACCTCATCATTGGCCTCGTTGGAATCCGCCTCGTCAGGATATGGATCAAATGATGGAAAGTCTGTGACGTCATCAACATCAGTGACGTCATTTTCATCCATTGAATCAACATCGTCGTTTCCGGATGGTGATTTGATGACATCAACCGGAAGCATGAACGATGACGAAGTTGTTGATTTTCACGATGAAACGTCATCATCATTATCATCCCCTCTTAGAGCAATAAGCTTCTCCTCTCCATCATTATGTTCGGTGACAATGAGAGAATCATTTTTGTTTCATCTCAGAAATTCCGACGACGATGATGAAGGCAAAGGAGGAGAGGAAGAAGATGGCGTGGAAGATGAGGATGACGCGGAAGAAGATGATGGAGATGATGATGGAATCCATACCATCCTCTTCTCGCCAACCTGCAGACATGCGGAAACATCCCACAGCAGCAGAAATAATCTTAACGACAAAGATCGACGCTATGGATCGATTGAATTGAAAGTTGAAAGGAGCCGTCAAAAGATTGTTGTACAAGTGAACAGTGCTCAGAATTTGAACCCCCTGACAACTGACTCATGCAACAGTTATGTGCATGTCCGCCTCACACACATGCAAGGTCATGTCCTTAAGAAGTTCAGAACAAAAACAATATTCAACACATTTGATCCTCACTTCAACGAAAGCATTTCATTCCATCTCCCTGAACAATGGAATGACTACAAAATGATGATTCACACGACGATTTACAACGAGAACCCAATCATATCAGATGAAGAATTGGGACACGTCGAAATAACCTTACCAAACAAGCTCTACTATGTCCAAGAATGCCAAACATACCTCGACCAACCAGCAAATTACAGCAAGTATCTACTGCATCATAATGAGAAATCCCGGCTAACGGATGTTAGCGTCAACCAATTGCTAAAAATTCAGATGAACAAACAAATGTTTCAATTGACTCTAAATCACAAAATGCAAGTATCGGAAAAAGTCAAAAATTCATCCTCAAAAATCAGAAAGTTTTTGAAGAAAAAACTGCAAAAGTTGTTGAAATGAAGATGTGAAGAATTTGTGAATAGTAAATTGATGAATGATTGTGAATTTTTTAATGAATTTTTCAATATGCAATTGTACATAATCCAATTTTTAAATTGTATATATCATGTTTTTAAACAACCTCTTTAAAATAATCATTTGTATATATTCCATTTTCTAAAATTGTATGTATCAATTTTTACATTAGCAAAGAAATTTTTCCAACAATGTATAAACACTCGTTTTTTAAATCACATCATAACTCGACGAAATTTGGTTAGGTAGTTATTTCTGGTATTAAGGTCGTACTTTAAAAAAAATTTAAAAAAAAAACTTTATATATTTA